ATATCAGTCCCTAAATTTGAGTGTTGAATTTGTTTCTTCTTATAATTTCATCAGCTACCTGCCCGTGGGGACTCCTGCTGGTGATTTACCCTCAGTGACCTCGGCTCTGCACAAAGGCTCTCCACCACTCCCTCCTCTGCTCTTCCCCTTCTGGTGTTCATGACCTCTTTTTGACTCCTTAGGCAGCACAGCTTGATTACCTATATTTCTTTGGTGCATGACTCTAGAGCCTTACTGAATTTCACCAAGGAATTTTCTTAAAGAAAGCCAATTGTGTACCTAAAATAAATTCCAGGGCCAGCTTTGATATTATTTTCCCAACTTGGCAACATTTCGATTTTGAAGTTTATGAGGCAGATGATTCAGATCACCATCTAAATTGATTAGAGTGACAGGTCAAGGCAACAGAGCCACAAACAGTGATTAAAGATAAAAAATATTATCTGTCTGTGGTCTAGAAGCTCAACTGGTATCATAAAACTTCAGATATTATTGATATAGGAATGATATAAAAGGACCTCCAAATTGTATAAGGGAAATATTGTATCTCCCAACCTGCAGGTTGGCTGTAGGGTGGGACAAAATAACAACCAACCAATAAGATTATAAGTATAGTCACTTAGGTAATATTGATCTAATGGAGCAGTGAGTCACATAACCAGCATGCATTGAAAAAACAAGGACCTTTCCTAAAAGGACTGGGTCGAGGTCTTGGTCACCCACCCAGGAGATTGATGCCTATTATGGTTTATGTCTGGATGTCCCTCCAAAGCCTCTTGTGTGCCATGGTGAGCAGGCTTTTTGGAGGTGGCTGATGTAGAGTTTGTGATTGATGCATGGTCCAGTGGTGAGCTTAAAGGTGTGAGTGCTACTCCTGCATTCGGGCAGGTAGCCTGGATTCAAAATAAGGGACAAAAGGAGGCTTGTCCCCTCCCTCCTTTGTTGCTTTGGCTGTCTTCTACCTGCCATGAAGGCAGTTGTGAAGTGAAAACTCTACAAACTGTGAGCTCAGTAAACCTCTTCCCCTTTAACTTTGGGTGTTGAGTATTTTGTCTCAGCAATGAGAAAAACTTGGACAAATATCAATTGTTACTGTTTATCCCTAGGAAGGTAGGCATAGTCATTTCATCTTTGTCTTGAGGCTTAGCCTTCAAAGAATGCACCTTCAGCCACGTTGTGATGTGTTCTCACCTTCTGCATGATTCCCAGGAGGGCCCAACCTTGTCTGACTGCCTGTAATATTTCTACCTAATTTAGCTATCTAAAATATTGTATCTTATTTGAAAGGTGTCATGAAAGAACCAAACAAGTGGCTGGATCGTGTAGCAGGTTGTGGGCTTTTATGGTATATCTAAATTGCTTTTCTGGTTAGCCAAGTAACTCATACTTATTGTAAACAAGTATTGATTGTAAATATACTCTATTTTTAATTGCTAACTTTCAAATTTTTAAGCAGAAAATTGTTGGAAACCTAAATATATATGAATATATGTCAGGGAAAACTATTTGAGAATGCTAAAATTGATTTTTTTAAAACAGTCCATAACATCTGTGGCTGGCAAGAGATTAACCTTCAACAACAGCAACAACAAAATACAGAGTTGAATAAATACATAAAAATGATTATACGTTTGTCCCTTTAAGTTCAATGGGAAAAATTTGAGTGAATGAAGCCAATGTTCTAATAAGCAGCTCAGATTTTAGTCTACCAAATGCCACTCCATAAAACAGGACACTTCATATTTATTTTTAAAAATAAAATAAAACCTATCTCTTGTTGTTTTGTTTATTTGCAGATCACACCTGCTTGAGTTTTAAGGTGATTTTTTTATTTGAAAATATACAAAACAAATGACCATCTACTAGAAATTACTAGAATTTACAGGAAAGTAAAAGAGGAAAATATCAAAATATGGGTGTCCCTGTTGTCCTAGGGCATTCCTGGGGTTTCTTTGAACAAAGAAATAGGAAAAAAGCCATGCACCTGTACTCCCAGCTACTCAGGATGCTGAGGCAAGAAATCTGCTTCACCCCAGAAGTTCAAGGCCAGCCTGAGCGATACAGCAAGCACCATTTCAGATAGAGGAGAGAGGAGAGAAGAGAAGAGGGGAAGAAAATAAAGGGGAAAAAGAGAAAAAGAATAGGGGAGGCCAGACAAAAGGGGTAAATAATATGAATCATTTTCTTTTAGAAAAATATTAACATAATGACAAATGCAGCAGGAGTCTGAGTAAGGTGCAGATAAGTATTAAAAGAAAATAACTATTTTGTTTAGGCAATATAATTCCTTCAAGTAAATTGAAGAAAATTGCAGATTTGCTCATTTGATCACTCAGCAAATGTATCAAAGAAACAGTTTCTACTTTCGATTGGGGCACTTATAAGGATAGACACAGCTGATAAGATACAATGTTATAGGCTCAAAATATAGTTCAACACATAAAATCACATCAAATAGCCTAGCGTTTTGAAATATGCATTAAATACATGGCACACTTTTTATAAAAGGTGCTGGAAATGCTTCACTGTATTTGTACATCAAAATAATTTTACACACTGAATATATTATGCCAAATAACCCATAAAAAGAATTTTCTCTCTAGATCAGTGCATAAAGATAGTATCTTTAGAATTTTGATGCTACATTACACCTAAAGTGATATAAACACTAATCAGCTAGTAACATTTTAAAGATAGTATTTACATATACTAATCAACTATATTCTGCTGAATTTTCTCCTTCTGACTGAATGTTCTCCTTCTGACTGAGTGTTCAAAAAATCACTCCAGGTGACTACTATATGCATATAGATGGTTTTAATGATCAGTATGTGACAAGTTGTTTTTTTCCAAAAGGTTTGAAGTCGCAGTCATAAAGGTATGTTGATGCTTTTTTTCTCACACGTGGTTGCAATGCACTGTATGACAGATTTGTTTGCCTGCATCTAGGGTTTTGCCACAATGTCAGAGTGCAGTTGAATTCTAACAACAACAAAAAAAAATTCTACTGCTTACAAGTCACTGTGAGCTTGTGTGGGCAGGAGTTCATCATACCTACACAGTGCTGACATATGCATGCAGGAGAGATGTGGATGCATATAAACTACGGGGAGAGAAGCAGAGGAAGTTAGCTGTTCCTACCCAGAATCGGGTGAAAACGCAGAGACCAAGCTTTCAGAAAGTGATGCCCCTGCCACCTTCCTAGCAGCCTACATTGATCTTCAGTTAATGAGGCTGTCCTTGATGATAAGAAATCCCAGGGCCACAAAATGAGTTCTGGGAAGAGCCTTCCCTCAAATTGATAATTTCTGAGTCATGTGAGCCTCATGGATAAAACCTAGATTACATGACGAAGCCCTGACTACCTTGAAGAGCTGCACCCTGAAGAACAGACAGTACCCTAGACCTGGAAAATATCAGAAGGAGAAGAGATAAAGGGTCATTGAACTTCAGTGCAAGCTCATTTACTCAATGTCATTTATTAAGTGGCTACTGTATGCCAGACCTGGGTGCTTTTCTTAGTTACAATATACCACATTGTGCTGTCAAAGCCAACAATGTGTAGGGCTACGGAAAGAATGGGCATTCTGAAGAAACCAGCAGTGGATATTGGTTGGAATATAGCAGTGGGTCTTCATCTCCTAGGCCAATGCTTGTCACCAACTCAGCTCAACTGTTCTGGCATACATGAGAGGGAGTGGCATGCATGCCATGCAGGGAATTCTGAGGAATAACCCTGGGTAAGAAATATTATTTATTAAGTATAAGGACAGAGGAGATGACTAGGAAGAGGAGAAGTAAACCGGCCCATGGAGGAGGTTATCTTTGAGGTTCTCCAACCACGCAATGACCTAATTTTCTACCTGATTGGCCTGCTACCTTACCCTTGTTCCCATATGCTGCTGATAAAAGCCCCTGCTGATGTAGTGGTTATAGGTTAATCCTCTTAGCTGAGAGAGACCGCCTGTGTTGGTCTTCCCTTTAATCATGCCCTGCCCTATTCAGCACACAGTGACTCCAGCGCCTTGAGTGTGGAATTCAGAGCATCACTAAAGATGACGCAGTGAATGGCTACCCCTCCTCAAGATTTTCACAATCTAAAGCACCTGAATTCTAATATCTAAGTGCTAAGGATTTTTAAGAACTAAAGAAATTGTCAGTGGCATCAAAATAGGGAGACATTTTGAAGCAAATGTCTTGCCCTATATTCCTATACTCCCTCCCTTAAAAGTCTGGTTTTAAATCACTCGTTTCTGTTGACTGCCAATTTCCTGCACTTTGAAGATGTAATATTCAAAGAGGAAATCACAGCTGTATATGCTAAATTCATCTACAGGTATCCGTGATTCTGTTTTCGGTAGAGACTTTTTTTTTAATAACCAGAAGAAGAAACGAATCTGAGTAACGGGGGCTGGATATGAGCCACTGCAGCCGGGTCCAAGGTGAACAAATACCGATGACTCCACAGCTGGAGCAAAAGTAGCCCTGACCTTGCTGACCAACAGAAGGGAGGACACGAGACGCGCGGGAAGGAAAGGAAAGGGGAGGCTGGGTGCACAAAACCGCAGCCTGTGCCCAGCTGTGACTCCATCCGGAAGCACACGCTGCTGCCAGCCCCAGACTGCAGAGCTACTCCTGCAGCCCAGTGGGCAGCGCGGGTACATCCCGCCTCTGCCTCCTCTCCACCACTATCACCATCTACTACTCCTCGGCTCTCCAGACAGTCACGGCCCAAAAGTATACAGACGCTGGAATGAGTTGTGGCAACAAGTAAAATAAAACAGTTTGGAAGAAAAAAGAAAGAATGTTTGCAACATGTGAGGATCTAAGGAGAAGTTTAGGACTAAACCTTCAAAACGTGCACAGCACCAAAATCAAAAAGGCTCGGTGTAGTTCACCGAGGATCCCGCAGAGGCCGCTGTTGCCGAAAGGCGCTCTCGGCTCCACGAGCACGCGCTCAGCGCGTCCCCGAGAGCACAGGAACGCGCGCCGGGCCCACGTGACCGAGCAGCGGGGCCGCGCCCGAGCACCATGGCGACGGCGCGCGCAGGGCCCGGCTCCCTGCCGGTGCCGGGCGCCCGGTTCTTCTGTACCGCGGGCCGCGGCCTGGAGCCGTTCGTGATGCAGGAGGTGCGGGCACGGCTGGCGGCCACGCAGGTGAGTGGGCCTCGCTGCAGCCCCGCCCGGCTCCCCGCCCTCGGGCCCCTGTTCCCGTCAGCGCCTGTCCCTGGGGACCCAGAGCCACCAGGGCGGCGTCCCCGAGGACTGGGAGGAGCCCACGTTAAGAGTGCTTATTTCTTGGATTCTTTGTGAACAAGTATTAAATAGAGCCTCGAACAGGATAATCTTCAAGTTCAGTTACGCAAACAGTGTTAGTTTCCTGCCAGTGACTAGTTTTACCTGGCAGCATTGTTGCAAGGTTTAAGTGTTACAAGCTATGTGAAGCACACCGGAAGCTGCAGTAACAGTAGCTACAAAAATAATACACACTTGCAAGCCCCAGGAGTATCGGTTGTTTACTGTAGCGAAACCAACCCGATTGTAAACGTCCGTTGTGATGCCAGCACTGTCTGAGCAGGTTCTTAAAGCAAAGGAAAAAGATGTAACCGAAAAGGTATCTTGAGTAGAGTACAAGTGACAGTGTGGATGGCATTTGTGGAAAAGGAAAACTTGATCACCCAATTTGATCACTCTCCTCTGGGAGCTACAATGTTGGAATTCCACAGTTGGAGGAGTAGGAATAAGGGAGGACTCATCTAAAAGAGTCTCAGTATATAATAATAATTACTAACCTTTATCAAGTGTTTTATGTGCCAGGCACGTGCTCTTAGATCCTTACGCTAATATTCTTTGCTTAATCTTTACAATGCTATGAAGTAGGTATTCCACATTTAATCGATAAGGAAAATAAAGCACAGATAAATCTAATGTTATTTAAAGTTGTGCGACAAAAAAAATGGCAAAAATGAGGTTAAAATCCAAGCTGTGAAATAAGATAAGAGTGTATAGTCAGTCAGTCATGTTCAGTCCACATATGTAACCAAACTTGATATTACGCTGGGGTGGGTGTGTGTGTGTGTGTGTGTGTGTGTGTGTGTTAGAGTGCTTGGTACAAAAATGGACTGCTTGATCTATAGGATTATTAGAAAAAAGATTCTCTCCACTTACTTATCTTCCCTAAGATAAAGTTATGCAGGAAATTGTAACAGCAAGAAAATTCAGTCTAGCATATGGAAGGACTCCTTGACGATGCAAGTAGTTAAATGTCAAGAGAATTTCCATATTCTGTTCTTGTGTGTTTTAGTGGTAGATATACATAGAAATGAGATCTGAACAGATAACTCCTCAAATTCCATTCCTGTTGCTTTAATATAAAGTGAACTCTCAAAGTTGAGCAATCTGAGGTAATTGGGGCCTGGGATTTAGCTCAGTGGCCTAAGTGCCTCCCTAGGAAGCATGAGGTCATGAGTTTAATCCCTGGTACCAAAAAATAACAGCAACAGCAACAAAAAAACAATTTGAGATAATAATGACAGCAACCAACATTTGCTAAGTTTTAAAATATTCAACACTTGTGTACATGTTTTAATTTAAACTTCAAAGGCTTGCTATGAGTAGGTCACTTTGACTTCTGTTTTACAAAGAAATAAGGAAACCAGGTGATCACATGAGGATTTGTATCTGAATTTCCTTAGCTTTGAAGTTCTTGTATGTTCCACCACGCTGTTATTGTTGGCCCTTGGTATCTGAGTGAGGACTGGTTCCAGGACGGTCCTCAGATACCCAAATCCATAAAAGTATCATTTATAAAAGTGTAATATTTCAATGTAATGTACACATATCTTCCCAAATGCATTCAATCATCTCTAGATTACTCATAATCCCTAATACAATGTAACTTATGTAACTAATTGTTATACTGTATTATTTAAGGAATAATGATGAAAAACAGTCTGTCCATGTTCAGTGCATACAAATTCCCTCCACGTATTTTTCCTCTGAGATTAGTTGCATCCACACATGTGGACCCTGAAGATAGCCAACTGTAGTGTGAGAAACTTCCCTGTAACAATGAATAAAGGTTATTTCTCTAATACCATGGTGAAGAGCATATGGGCTTTAGAAGCAAAAGACATGTTCAAATCATACATCGTTGTTTAGTAGTCATGACTTTGGACATTAAAATCATGCTAGATAGCACAGCTGCACAACTGTACTAAATAAAAGTTCTTACAAAATGAGTTGCACAGGAATAAAACTTTGGCTTGATTTAAGAAAATGAATATTCAAATATCTGAATTTATAAAACAAATTAATTCAGAAGTGATTGTTTACTTTTATGAAGTAATCACTCAATTTTAATCAGTAGTTTTCCAATTTTAGTGAATGTAAAAATCACCAGGAGAGCTTGTTGAAATTGCATGTTCTTGGGTGTCAGCTCCAAAAGCTTTTCTTTCAGTAATGAATCCAGGTGTTTGCATTTGAACAGGATTTGCTCTTTTCATGGGTGACTCTGAGGTGGGTACATCCTCCAGCACATAGCTTACGGTAGAAAATGTCCAATATATTCTTTTTAGCTTTTTTTCATGGATAATTTTACATTTATACAGAAACAGAATAGTATGGTGAATTCTGCATACTTATCAATCAACTGTACAAAAGACAACTCATGCCACAATTCACCCTGTGTTATTTGGTAGCAAATTCCAGGAATCATTCATCTATAAAAATGTGCATACTTCAAAGTTATAAGGACTCTTTATATAGCATAATGTATAGTATATATAAAAGAGATAAAGGCTCTTAAAAACGTAAGCCACATTATCAGTATTGCAGCTAAAAATAATTCCTTATCAAATACCTATTTGGTATTCCAATTTAAACTTGTCTCATAAATGTCACTTTTGTTTATAGTCTTTGTTGTTGAATTTACATCTTTTTAAAAATATGAAAGCTAGTCTTCACTCATCATGACTAGTTGTCTGACTCCTGATCTATGACAGTACTATTCAGTCAGGTTACTATCAACCACAGTGGTCATTTAAACTAAAATTAAAGTCAAATAAAATAATATTTCACTTATTCAGGTGCATTAGTCACATTTAAATGCTCAGAATTCACACCTGTAATGAACAGGTTATAGAACATTTTCATCACTACAGAAGATTCCCAGCACCGTTTCCCCTGGTGTAGATTTGCCAGGTGCATTTCCATGGTGCAGTTTAACATGTTCCTCTACACCCTCATCCTCTTGTGTTGTTGTAACAGAATACTGCAGACTGAGTAACTTGTAAAGAAGTGTATTTCTTACAGTCCCGTAGGCTGAGAAGTCTAAGATTAAGACACTAAATCTGCTGAGGACTTTTGTGTTGCTTTGTAACATGGCTAAAGTTATCTATCACCTGTTGAAAAAACAAGAGCTCTGGGGATTTAGCTCAGTGGCATAAGCACCTGCCTGGCAAGTGGGAGGTCGAAAGTTCAATCCCCGGTACCAAAAAAAAAAAAAATAGAGAGAGAGAGAACGAACAAGAGCACACAAAGACAGACAAGAGAAAGCTGAGCTCCCATTTGTGACAAGCCCCCTCTCAAGAGAACTAAACCAGTCCTGCAGTGACACCATTAATCCATTCAGGAGGGCAGATACCACATCATCTCATCTCTTCTTAAAGGTCCCGCCTCCCAACATTGCATCAGTGGTTAAGCTAACACAGAGATTGGGGGTGCACATACAATTTCACTCTGCCTTGTGTACTTTCTGTGCATTAGAGTTCTAAAAGTTGAGTCTAGCACTTGTTCAGATTGAGATTTGATTTCCACCCTTCAGTGTTCTTTATAAGTGCCTGAGTGTTTTTTAAATTTTATTAAAAATTACTTATATTAGGAAAAAATGTATATGTATATGTAATTTTTTTTAAACAGAGTCTCACTATGTAGTCCAGGCTGGCCTTGAACTCACAGTGGTTCTCCTGCCTCTGCCTCCTGAGTGCTGGGATTACAGACTTGGGACATCGTGTCTGGCAAAAATTATATATTTTAAAGGGCCAGGGGTTTGGCTCAGCGACATAAGTGCCTGCTTCGCAAACACAAAGTTTTGAGTTTGATCCCCAGTACAAAAAAATACATATTTTAAAATTATATTAAATTATGTATTATAAATGATACAGAAAATATATAAAATTAAACTTTTCTTTAAAGTACTACTGTATTAAGTAGTACTTATTATAAGAATAGTAACAGGAATAGTTCAATGTAAGGTAGAATTGAGTGTAATAGTTATCTCTAACGCTGGCATACTACAAAGATTCTGTCAATTGATTCATTGATCTTTATAAATCCACATATCAAAGACTGTTGGCCCAAGTCCTTAACAGCCCAAACAATTTTCAGTTTTTTAATGGTGTCATGACAGTAGGAATAGATAGAGGGTTAAAGCTGAGCAAATAGTTACTTTGTAGTTACTGTTCTTTAATGGGATGATTGCAGAAGGTTCCCTTTTTTAAGAATTATCTTTTTTACAAGTCTCTGTATTCCCTTTAGATTGAATGCCTTTGGGGAAATCAAATGAAATATATCTGTTCCGTTGAACCAAATGTTCTAAAATGTAAGCACCACATTAATATATCACTTGGTACTTTAAAATTTGTTTTAAAACTAAATGACATCTGTCAAATTATGAAAGTGTTGGCGCCTCCTAGTAAGTAATGCTGTATGTTTTTGCCTAGATTTAAACTTTTAAAGTTGGAATTGAGCTTGAGTCCACGAATTTTAAAAGGAAGAAAAAATGCTAACTGCTTCGATATGCTAACAGCTAATGGAGCTATTATTTCATCTTCAGACTTGCCTATCTCAGGCATAGTTGCCTAAGATGCCGAAGGCCCAGTTCTGTCCTCAGCACCAAAAAAAAAGCAGCTGATTTTAGACACTTTATTGTAATTAAATTCCAAATGAAAATATATATATAGATTTTCAAGTAACAAATATTAGAATAAAATATTTTGAAATGCTGTCTTCCTGAGGACTATAACTGAGTATGATCAGTTATAAGCAATAAACCGAAGAAAGGAGGAAATACATCAGCAGCTGACAAAATCACTATTACCAAAATTCAATCTGCCTACTTCTTTCAGATGTAGTACAGCCATCATAAAGTGTAATCCATATGTGTTCATCTCTGTGATTATGTGATTCTCACAGTAACTATCTTACAATTTAGTAAACTACATCAGATTATGTGCTTATTGCTTCTAAAAAGAGTGTAGGCCTGTGTTAATTTTCAAAAAGAATAATGTTGCTAAATTTGGTTTGAGAATGCATCTGGTATTTTAGGGCATCAACACATACTATCATGATGATTTGAAGCCTTAAGTACATTAAACTCTTTACGTTTTCTTAACTGATAGTCATGTTCTTTGTAGGAATATTTCTTTTTAAAAAGAGGATTTTTTAGAGAAAATTTATAAAATGTTTTTAATATCTAAATTAAAACAATAAAATCTTTATATAAGTCTTTATCACTGATTACTAGATAAAATTATTGGCCTAGAATCTGCTTGTATCATTATACTTGTTTTTACCTCTTAAATATTAAAATCATACATCTTCAATAAAATATTTAATTCCATTTCCCCAGGATCTTGGCAACGTATTATAGGTTCAATAAATTGTTCAGTGATGAGTGTGATATTAGCTGTATTCTTACGCAGGTTAACAAAATCTGAATTTTTAAAAATTGCTTTGTAAAATTTTATGGTCTGAATACTTTTAGGTATATATTTAGTTTAAAAAATATCACCTATGTAATGAAAAAAAGATAAATTCTAAAAACCAGTTCTCATTTGGGTTACTCATTTCTCTTTAAATATTGATTTTGAAACTCTCTCATTCCCCATTTTTCCCCATAATGTCATCATCTGTTCCTCCGTTTGTCTTGATAATCTGCACTATTGATACCTAAGTTTAATTGATGTCACCCTAGGGCTTCCTCAGCAGACAATTCTCTTTCATCCACCTAGAGTAACCCCAGGAATTACCATCCCAAAGGTTCAATTAGATCATATCCAGATCCAAAAAAAAAAAAAGTTGCCCTAAATTGTAACTACGTAAGCACATAGTATCTTAGCCTGTTTTGTTTTGCTATAATAGAATGCCTGATACTGGGCAGTATATAAAGGAAAGAGGTTTATCTGGCTCACTGTTCAGGTGGCTGGAAAGTTCAAACAACATGTTGACAGTGCCTGGCAAGGACTACCCTGTCTGTATCACAGCATGGCCAAGGAGCAGAAAGGGAACCAGCTACAAGAGGAAGCCCATGTATGTATGCAAAGGAGAAAACCAGGAAGTGGAAAAATCCACACTTGCTCTTCTGAAACAACCTTCTTTGTTGGCAAGTACTCTCTCATGAGACACGGCCCACTCCCAGAGACCACTGATAATCCCTTCCAAGAGTGTCTGTGACCTACCTAATCACTTCTCACTGGCCATACCTTTTAAAGTTTCTCCATGTTTTGAGATAATGCACTGCAGACCAGGCTTCTTGCACAAGAGCCCTGGGGAATGCACTCAGTCCATATCCAAACCATACCTGTGGGATATCGCAGATTCTCTGATAACTTAGTTTTAGGAGATAATTTAGAACCACATACACCAGCCCATGGCCTCTGCTAAAAGGAGACTTTCAAGACAAACCACATCCATCCTGCACTTCCATTAGGATTCCACTGGTATAGAGCACCATTTACCACACATATTAGGCTCCTGTAAGTCAGTGCTCCATGTATTTCCGGTCTTCTCTGCCTTAACTCAGACTCCTATCTTTAAACCTGGTTTGTTCAATGCATTTATCTTGCTTCTATCCGTTTTCCAGTTCCTGCAGCCAGGGGTCTCATCGTTTCTTCCTTAGTAATCAGCTTCTCTCTCCAGTGTCACATTCTGTACTCACTCTCTTATGCCTCTTTTTTCTGCCAGCTAATTCAGGGCTGTCACAGTTTTCATCGGAATTCTATGATGGCTGACCATTACCTCTGTGCTACTCAAAATTTTATGACCATATATCAAGCTGACCTCAGCTACGCAATCCATCCACCCAACACCATCAATCAACTAATACAGCAAACGTTTCCCAGCGAACTTTCAATTTACTTCAGCCAGGTTTTCTCTCCCACATTTGCAATTCATTCTTTTGTTCGAATCTCTCTTCTCAAATCCTACAGGATTTTCCCCCAAAATTTGAGTAATGTTGGCTTTTTATTCAGTAGCTTCCAGGTTTATAGTACTTACAGCATATTGGTCCATTCTAATACTAAAACTTTTTGGTTTTTTCCTGAGACTAATTAAGATGTTGTCTTATAAACTTTAAATTTTAATTTATGTATCTGTTCCATAATTATTCAAGATGTATGCAATATACTTCCTGGTAGACCAATAGCAGATCGTTAATGCATATCTACCTTGGGCTAGGAACCTCATCTGTCCTAATTTTTTCTATGCATTATACCTTTCTTTTACCCACTTTAAATTGTGTGTGAGATTTGATAATATAATTACTTGGTATTTTGTATTCTATTTTTCTAGCAGTACTTTATTAAATGTAGAATAACACACAGAGACTATGCTCTTGGTCACTATGTAAACTTATACAAATTAAACTAACATAAACTTAAGTTTCCTGATGTGTAAAATGGGTATAATAAAATCTACCTTCATGGGTTGTAAATAAGGACGGCAGGGGTACATATCTGGAGTATCTAGTGTGGGTCCCTAATAATTAATAGATGCTTCATACAGAAATGGTCATTTTTATTGTTAATCTGGAGCAGTTGTGAACCCATGGCACACATCACAACAGGTTGTCTGTATCACTGAGAGCTCTACAAGGTTCAGCACCATTGATCTAGATGTGGGATATGGCTTAATCCATTAAGGGGAAAGAAACTAGTTCTTATTCTTTTTTTTTTTTTTTTAATTTAATTCTTTTGTTATTCTTTTTTTTTTTTTTTTTTTTTTTTTTGTCTTTTTATCGGTACCAGGGATCGAACTCACGACTGCCTGCTTGCAAGGCAGGCGCTTATGCCACTGAGCTAAATCCCCAGCTCCTAGTTCTTATTCTGACACTGGATTACATTACTGTCTGTCTGTCTGTCTCTAGGTTGAATGTACTTCAGGAAAGGTTTTTTTCACTACCTGTTCTGACTTGAATATGCTGAAAAAATTAAAATCTGCTGAAAGATTATTTTTGCTGATTAAAAAGCAGTTTCCACTTACTGCTTCTTCTGTAACTAAAGGTATGGTGTATTCTTATTTTATACCCACATGATATATGGTAGTCTGAGTTTTCTGGATAATCTAGTAGCCATTTCACATTTTAATGATGCATTCATATATGTGGCATCATTAGTTATTTATCTTTCTGTGTTTCCTGACTACTGCCATGTAATTGTAATAGACTCTCTCTTCTTTGTGATCTGCTGCCTGCCTCCCAAGATTTTAGTGTCCTAAACCATCATTGTGAATTAAGATCTAGCAGTATCTCTAGAGATAAATGTGGTCAGTTTCATTTATTTGTATTTAGAAGTATGTAATAATCCAAATTGCATTATTTTAACAATAAATTGAGAAAAAACACTATCAATTCATGAAGCTAAACTGAGTGATATAATTGTAAAATATTGCATGATAGAATTTGCTACTTCTAGACCTTAAATGTTTTCAGTGAACTCATATTCATTTGTAAAAAAAGGGACCCTAAGATATTTCTTATCCACAACCTAACTTTATAAATAGTCTGTGAAAATAATTTAAGGTTCTTGATTAAAGTACAAAAAAAGGATCAGGCACTGCAGGATTAATCACTGCCTTAAACTTGAGTCTGATTACCAATGTCAGTGTGCACAAGAGATCGGGTAATTTTATAGCCTATAATCAGCTATTTCAAGAAAGATACAAATGACAAGAAATCACGACCAGCAAGAAAATGAAGGTATCATACTGTGGGGGCAATATAATTTCATCACAACATCTCATGTACCTCATCTTTAGGGAACTACTTTTGAATCATTTTGATGACCTTTGGTCATCAAGAAAAGACTGAATTTTACTGAGCATGCTGGTAGTCCCTAAGTCATCAATGGATTATTTATTAGAAGTTGCACTCTATGGCAATTTATTTTTAAGATTTATGCTAATATTGTGTGATCTAAAATGAAACAGACACAAGAGTCTGCTCTTACATTGCTGAGCTGTGTTTTCTAATTTATTTTCTTAACCTTAATTTTTATAGACAAGATCATCATTATTTTCAAAATACACACACTAGGTCTATACATATGTTCATGAAAGACATATATTATCATAAGAAAAATGGTTTGTTAAAGAATTAGCTGATAATGCTATAGGAATTTTAAGACAATTTTAATGCTGTGTATAATATAAAGGAATGACCTTTATTCTGGTACAGTATTCTTATGATAAATCATATAAATTCTCAAATGAAAATGAAGTTTATTTGTGTAGAAGTTCAACAGAATTTATGTTTTAAAAATGATAATGGTATTTGGAGGCACAGAATATAAAACTATGTGTTTTTAAGCTTCAAGGTAAGATAACCTCGGATTTTATTTATTAGGAAAAATATTAAACAAAGTACAACGGCTTATCAATGATGACCCTCAAAGCTGGTTGGATGCCATTTCAGTTTGGAAAAATCTTCTTGAACTTGATGTAAACAGGGAAGAACTTTCTCAGAGTGTTGCTAACCCACTAAAAAGAAAACAGGAAGAAGATGAAAGCATCATTGCTAAGAAATTAAAGACAGAAGAAATGCAAAGGGTTGAAGAGAGTCACGGGGAATGCCAGCTGGAAGAAGACAGACAGGGGCAGAGAGATGCTACTGATGAAAGAGAGAAAGCTGGAGAAGGAGACACTCGGAAGGAGGTAAAGGAAGCAGCTGGCACTGGCAGCCAGAAGGACTTGACATTCAGGGTGTCCTGTCGCTGCAGCGGAAGCATCGGGAAGGTCTTCACTGCACAGGTATGCCTGCCTGCCGGGGCTCCTGTTTTCTAAAAGAATTGCTCACTCTTTAGATTTAAAATGAGATGCAAATCTCTCCCAGAATCGACAACCAGGCCCAGATGTTTAATTAGCCCTCATTTCATATGATTAAATTCCCTTTAAAACTGCGTTTTGCTTGACTTAGCCTCAGGTACTTGAGGGAAAGATACCATTCCATGTAATAACCTCTTTTTACTTTTCATCTAAAAGTTTCCTTAAAGGGCCTGGCAGGGTGGTACATGCCTGTAATCCCAGCGTGCTGGATGCTGAGGCAGGAGGATCTCTCAAGTTCAAGGCAGCCTGAACTACATGGCGAGACCCTGTCTCAACCTCCCTGCCACACACACACACACACACACACACACACACACACACACACACACAAAAGTTTCCTTAAATTGGTAATGTTCTTTGCATTTGCAAAATCCTGATTATCGTGGACCTGAGCATTTGGGGAATTCTTTCAGTTCTGTTCTGTGCTTACTAAGAGTGCTTACTCTGCACTAGGTACTGCATGGAATATTGAAACTGAGACTAAGCTTAGAAATACTCAGGTCCCAACAAACTAGGGAAGAGCAGACATCATAGTTGCTTACAGAGAACTTTTTGGTTGACCATTAGAATTTTCATTGCTACACAGGGCTGATCTGGGTCCTGCAACCTTCTGAGGTTTGTAAGATATGCCCTGAAGGTTGAGTCTAAATGTATTTGGAAATTTTTAAACATAGGGAATAGTAATAGCTAAAATAGTTCATATTTCTCCCTGTATTCATTTCCTGTAGTTTAAAGTGACCACATTTATCAGGTCATGAGCTGACCTAATATCTAAATTCATATACCCAGAATTGCAGTAGGGATTACAAGAGTAGACATGAGCACCACAGGTTAAAACTGGGGGGTGAAAGAGCTAAATATGACCTTCCTGTCTTGAACATAAAATGGTTTAGAGTAATATTTTGATACTGAAATGCTGAATTACCATCAGATAATTTGACTCAATTTTTCTACAAAGCTGTTAGGTTTTGCTTAGCTTTAAACTTTTTATTTTTAATGTATTCATTTCTCTAACATGGTACTTTCTAGGAAATTGGAAGAGTAATTGGAATTGCTGTTATGAAGCAGTTTGGATGGAAAGCAGATTTGAGAAACCCAGATGTAGAGGTATTGAATATTTGTTTTAATCTGTATAACTGTCATCTAATTCTTTAAAGACAAGATCATCTATTTTTATTATTATATTATATTATTATTAAAAGACATGTCACATGATTTGGGCTATTTTCCCTTTTATAAGTAAAACTGAGAATAATTTTGCTAGTAGTTTTCACTTGGAAAATATCCAAGTACACACACACACTCAATTGGAATGGAGTCATTTGGTCCAAGTTGAAGAAAAGCATTAATTGTGGAGTATGTTTCATAAGTGCTCTCTAAAATCTCTGTCCCACTTAACAAATTTCTTTAATAAGAATTTCCAGCTATTGTTTAAAGAAAATGAATAGTAAAAAGGTCCCAGCACAAAATTCAATTAGTATTGTTAATAATGGCTTTCTTAGGGCTATGAGATTATGTTTATCTTTTCACGGTAATAAGCAATACACAAGGAAACAATAGTTTTCACTTAATTTTGAAAACATGTTACAAAGTTGTTAGCTAGTCATTTTCATGATTCTGCTAAGTCATAATTCATTCTTTGTTACATAGCCTTACATGGATTACATAGATATATTAATGAACCAAATAAATCAGAATACTTTGTGTTGCTTTACTTTTTTAATTTTTTCATACTTTTCTTTTTTAAAAAGTAATGACTGATATATATGCAACTTTTATGCAAAATATTATGACTCCTGAATATTTTTTGTGTTCGAGTTTCCCTACTCTCCACCTTGTCAGACCTCATCTCTTCCCTCCTGGTTTCTTCATCCATCCTCCAATTTGTGGTTAGAGCTACAATTTTCTCACAGATCAGCTCATAAAAGAATAGCAAATTTAACTTCTTACCAGCCATTTCAAGTAATTAACAATAGCAGTAATGGGTAGAAAGTCATACAAAACAAAGCTGAGAACAAGAAAATTACATACAATAAAAATTCATCACTAAAAATTGATAGACAAATTGAAAAATTTGTCACTTAATGACTTTTATTCTACAAAATCGATAGGAAAAAATTTATATTGGGAGAAGCTATTGTTAACATTCAATATGTAAAAGCAAGGTCAATATGTCATATCTTCAGCATGAATCATAAATAGAAAACAATCTCAACAAATATTTTCCTAAAATGTGTAGTATATAAGATTAGAAACTTTAGCAGGGATGTTTAAACAAGGAATTACATGTCTAAATGGAATCACTTCAGATAATTTTTTGATGAAAATATATAAATTTTAAAATACTCTGATTTAGCTGCTTATGTTAAAAATAACCTTAGGGCTCTGGCAGTACATCTCAGTGGTGGAGTGCTTGTCTGGCATGTGTGAGGCCCTAGATTCTGTTCCCAGTACCACAAATAAAACAAAACAAAATCTTCAGGATAAAGTATTGAGGTTCAAATGTTAAGGTTCAAAATGGCACTTAGAATATTCTCTAAGCCTTATCATACTACAAATGTAAGAAAGAGTCTACCTTTTAAAATTCATGGCTACTAATAGTAACTTCAGGAATATAAACTCTGTATTTCAAAGAGTAGAAAGGAAATAGAAGCAGAGTCTTACCCAAAAATAGTTGAGAAACAAAATGATATGCTTCCTTCCACATATTTGACCTTAAAAAAGTTTGTTGTTACCATGAAGATACTCAAAGCCTATCTCAGTCCTGTGTGACCCTCAGTATTACTTGGGGGGGGGGGGTAAAATGGGATGGATTCAGGAAGTCTGCTCTAACCAAACATGTTGACAAGTCTGATCCATGTATGATAAAGAACTCTGAGAAAAAGATCTCGCGTTCTTTACAACTTGATTCTCCATTTAACTTATGTAAGAAATTCACCTCAAAATTTGTCTGTGAAATATACTGAAAATTTAGTTTGCCTCTGTTTAAGAAAATAGACATGGAACATTTTTCCAGATATGACAAATAGAGCTAGAACTTCTTATTAAAATCTAAGTCATACAAATTCAGAATAGAAGTTTAATTTGTCAGTAATTTAATAATGTGATTGCTTGTTCATTCTAACTTTCTTTGTTCTTTCAGATCTTTGTACATCTAAATGACATTTACACTGTAGTAGGGATTCCTGTGTTCAGGTAACTATAGTATTTTAAGCTTCAAGTTTGTCCCTTAAGAGTTTATAGAGCTGTGAAGACTTGCTCATACAAGATCCATTGATACCATGATTAACCCTGGTATTTCTGTATTATGAAATGATTTTCAAAGGCATGTATTTAAGCTACACTTTTTAGTCCATATAAAGCGTAACATAGCTCTTTAAATTCACCAAACATTCTCCAGATTTTATTGCCATTTTTCTTCTATTGTGAGAAGTCATCACTAGTTTTTAACATCTTGTTCAGATGTTTCTCCACAGTTGTGCAGAGTACTACTAATAATATGCACACATGATTTATTTCTTTTTAAAAATCTCTCTCGAGTTTATGAAGTGTAGCTGGAACTTTTTTATAGGTGTGTTAAAAAGAAAGAGGTAGTTAAAAGAGTGATTTTCAGTTTCTTGGGAAGGTGTAAATATTAATGGCATCTAAAAATATTTTATATTCATAAGTCTGCATATGATAGAGCACTTTCCAGGTGAATGTAGTTAATGGGTTATTTCAAAGATTAAGAAAGTCTTCATGCTACTGGTTTGCCTTAAGTTCCTGTGTATACATATGCAGTCTTAAACTGTGACTTTTTAAAAAATGTTTGCATTCATCATAATGCGTTTTATTTAGTGCTGACCTCTAGAAGTTGACTTTCACTGCTGAGACACTTGTAGGAGTCCAAGAACATTGAAGGACGGCTTTCCTGCTGTCCACTGGCCACATGGTGGATTCAATGAGCATCTCTACCACCGAAGATCATGACTCTTGGGTTTCCATCTGCTCCAGTGCTCTGTTGGCTTCCTTTGGCTCTCACCCACTCCAATACCTTACAGTATCTTCCAGACCAAACCTGGCATGCTCTTCTGTCAGGTTTCCAGGCTGTCCTAATCCAGTGCCTTTTGGACTGCCAGACATTAACTCCTGTAAATGATTCATAAAACTGGTAGATTTTTATAAAATAGCAAACAGAAGTGATAGGCAGTAATAAAAAATGATCACATTGAAATCAGTATAATTATTGATGGTCACCAAATGTAGAAAAGACTAGCAAAATAAGCAATATATAAAATATATTTTTAAAGTAATTCAAAAAGTGGATAAGCAGTGGAGCGATGCTAGGGATGAAACTCAGGCCTTTGCACATGCTGAACAGGACCTCTGCCATTTAACTACCTTCTCCAGTCCTCAGTGAACATTTATTTTATTACTTCTACTTGAAAAGGATGGACAGCTAAAAAATTAATTTGCTAAGGTTGCCTGAGCTGGACTTAACTTGGAATCCTCAAACCTCAGCCTTCCAGAGTGCTGGGAATATAGTTGTGTACCACCCACACCCAGGAATTTTTTACTACAAAACAAATTGGAGGTTAACATCCATTCATAGTTGAGGTCACAAATGTTATGGTATGTTCCTTTTGGTAACTCTGGATAGCAGGAGAAGGGTTACTGTGTGGGGGGAAGAACTAAATAAGAAAGACTTGCCTCATCTGTGGTTAACTTGTTAGTTTTGTTTTGTTTTTTTGTTTCTGGTCTCTTTGAGATGAGCTCACTGGGTATTTCAGGCTTGCCTTGAACTCACTGTGTAGCTCAGCTGACCTTGACCTGCCGTGATCCTCCTGGCAGGAGAGTTTAAATTTCAGTTCTGTAAAAAACTCACCTTTGTGAAACACCACACTGGCTGATTAGAGTAAGTGCCCATTCGAGAAAGTATTTTGTAATAAGGTTAAAATTTACTCTATTTGACATATACTGAAGTATGTGGAACCCACCATACGGCCCGCAGACAGCAGGAAGGCCATCAGTGTTCTTAGACTCCTAAAGTACACGTCAAATGATGTTGTTGAAATGGGTCTCGGATGTGGACAGATGAATCATTTTCATTTATGTCCTTTTAACATCTAGTAATATTTGCTGTGTAATCAGTGTCTCTGCTTCGTAGGGTACCTTTAGCCAGCAGAACTTACATTAGGACAGCTGGCCTCCGGTCCACAATAGCATGGGCAATGGCATCTCTTGCAGAAATTAAGGTAAAGATAGTATTTTTATTCTTATTAACAGCAAGGCCCTTTTTATAATTAATTGATTTAGTCAATCTCTTACTCATGAACATTTTTATTGCTTGTTTTCTTTTGTTTTCTGTTACAGTCACATTTAGAAACTTCTAAAGTGATGTTTTTAGTATTACTGAACTTTCCAGAGTACATTGCCCACAAAAAAGCTGTTAAAAGTTAACTGCGTTTTATTATTCCTGATTTATTTTGCAGCATAATAAAAAGCGGCCTGTTAAACCTCTGTCAAAATTTGTTTTTCTCTATAACCAACATCCTAATCCATTTTCCCAAGTGTTCAATAAATATAAGAAAAATTTATTTTCTAATTTAAAGTATTCTATGTTTACTTGCCATGTTCCTATTTACTCCATTCTAAAAGATCTCTTAAAAATCTGTGTTACTATATTTTTAATTGGGTTTTTCCATTTTTTATTAGTTAATGCATCATTCAGCTTCTGTGCAGTTTGGTAAATATGCACATTATTCATCAAAAATCGTGTTTTTTATTATTACATAAAGTTCTCTGTACCTTGTTTATTGACTTTAAACTTAAAATTTCACCATGAATTATTAATATCTTTACTCTTATCTTTTAGTTTACATCTCCCTAAAATTTATTTGCTACTAATTTTTTTGGTACTAGGAATCGAACTCTGAACCTCACACTTGCCAGGCAGGCACTTACACCGCTGAGCTATATCCCCGGCCCTACTATTTTCAAGCATAAGTGTTTTCATACAAATACATACGTACTATGATCCTTTCTGTCTCAACCTTACAGTCTCTGTTTCTCAGTAGGAGCATTCAGGAAGGGTATGATAGCTCCACTTGAGAGGTCTGTGTTACTCTGTTCATAATGTCAAAAGTCGTTTTGTTTAATTTTTAAATGTTTAAATATTTGCTGCCCTGACCAGGTTACCTGCCTCCTTATCACTCCATTGTTCTCCCTCGTGTTACAGACCTTGCCTCACTGTTATAACTCATTAAATTTCCCTTCCCATTTTCTTAAACATATGCAACTCTAGGTATTGTAAAACAGGACATCAACTGTTTCCTCTGCAAAGACACACAGCATTTGTTTTTTGTTTGTTTGTTTTGTTTTTACCACCAAAACACTTACTTTCCTTACCTTCCCCCTCTTCAGAGGACATAAGACTTTCAACCAACTCTCTTCTCTTTCTCCCTGTAAGGAGAGCTTTAAAACATTCTAGTACCTCCTTCCAATCCTGTTACCAAGTTATCTATTATGTATCAGAGCTTCCTTTGAAACTGCCTCTTCTTTTTCACTGATTTTTCTATTTGTTTGTTTGTTTGTTTGTTTTTATCTTTTCAAGACAGGGTTTCACTGTGCAGTTCAGACTGGTCTTGAAGTCACTTTGTAGCCCTCAGGCTGGCCTCGAACTCACAGCGACCCTCCTGCCTCGGTCTCCTGAGTGCTGGGATTACAGGCATGCACCACCACGCCTGGCCTTTTTTCACTATTGCACAGCTTATTCTTAGTCATTAAACTAGAATCCTGCGGCATACACAGTGACACCCTGCAAGACGTACTGGCCCTCACCACCCGTGCTCTTTGCCTCATCTTTTTTCCCCATTCGAAGTCTCCGCTTGGGTTTATTTCTTGCTAGGTTAAAGTTTAATCCGGGGTGTTTGCTCACCTGTGGTATTTGAATAAGACCCTATGTGAATTCTTTTCTGTGTGTGGATTTCTCCCTTTCATCTGGGTTTGCCCATTAGGCCGAGAAGAATATTCTTGAGGTGCAGCCCTCCGGCATACCTGTAGATGCTGTTGCGTTGTCCTTTAACTGATGTATTGTAGATGAGCAGGCCATCAGGGTGACTTTTCCTTTACAGATGCTTTGTTCTTTTTGTTTGGAAGGTTGGAGGAGTCCGCTCTTTAATCTTGATGGTCAAGAATATTACCAGCATCTTCTTCTATATGTGTCTTTTCTATTCAGCCCATAATTTCCTGAGTCTGACAGCCTAAGTTCTAATCACAGCTCCAGTATTTACTGGCCGGGAAGGTTTGGACAAGATACATAAAAACAAAACTCTGTGCCTTAGTTTCTCTTTCAGGCCACAAATAGTATTTCATAGTTTTATATGATGAAGTAAATTAGCATTATAAACAATTAGCACAGCACCTGGCATATGCAAACTATGTATTAGTTGCTGCTATGGAAATAATTAAAGCTGTAATAATTATATGAAGCATTTAATTATCCGTTGTTATTTATTATTATTAATCATCATTATTTCACCAGCCAGGCACTCTTCTTTCTATTATTTATTTAGACATTGCTCGACAGTCCAGCCAATTTAACTTTAACTGCCCATTTTTCTGCTTCACTTCCGACATTCCTGTGATAAGCATGTGAGCTTCCTTACTCCATCCTCCGGGCCTCTCATTCTTCCTCACATGGTTTCATCTCCGAACTTTGGCTCTGCATGTTGAGTTATTCTCAGACCCTATCATCCAGCTTCCAGCAAGAGTCACAGAGATACGTTCCACTTTCATTTATTGATATTTTCAGCTTATAAATCATGCTTTTTGCTTCAGAAAGGTACACATTGACATTGGCGTGTCTAACAGCTCTTCCTTGCTTCAATCCAGTCTCTAATTCCTCTCCAGTAGTTCCCAGCTGCTCCTGTTGGAAGGGTCCCCTCCCCTCTGGATGTGCCATTATTTTCCTCTGTTGGCCCACTAGGTCCATCATGTAGCTGTTAAAAATATTTTTCAATGGCTGGAATCCTATAAAGAGTAGAAGTGAAGAGGACCTTTGGCCCCCAGGGCCCGACCTTGTTGGGAGAATCTGTCCACCCTGCTGAGATGGGAGGGAATCCGTCTGTTCGCTGTCTCCCCTCAGACCGTTGGTCTTTGAAGACCAAGATTTTTCCCTGATCCTACCGGCCCTCCCTGTTCGGCTCCAGTGCTGTTCTCTAATCACTTATCCAACCCGTGGCCAGGAGGCCCCATGCCAGGTCCTTCTGAGACCCAGCAGACCCCCGGACTTTTCAGCACCACTGCCTCTAGGTCTCAGCATCACTCGGCTCAGCAGAAGTAAACAGCTTAGAGTCGGACATAAATGGAAGAGTTACTTTCAGATGACTGTGTACCCAGAACTCATGCTTTTCTTTATTTATTTAAATCTTTATTCCAAGTTGCTTTTAGTACACGGGAAGAGATACGATTACAATGTATTTTTTTCAAAATTGCCAGTGGCTTCAGTAGTCTGTGTTTAAATATAAATTTATAAGCCACCTATGTATTTGAAATGTGACCTCTGTCTGGATATAAACATACAATTTTCAGAAAAATAAAAAATGATCAAATGTATTTAGAGTGGTACTTGATAGAAGTTTTCCTTACCCTCAGTTTACCCTCCTTGTTCCTGGAGTCAGAAATGTCTCCCCACATGTGGTCGCTGGCAAAGGGGGTCCAGGCAAACACACAAGAAGTAGCAGGGAAGGACTCGATGCCCCTGATGGGAGGTTCTGATGCCAGCCGTGAGAGCCCAGACCGCTCAGCGTTGGGCAGGCCAGGGCTACTGAGGAGAAAACTTTAAGTGAAAGCATCAGACATTTTTAACGTTTTCTGTAAGAACTTCTCCTCTCCACACACACCATAAGTAGGGCATCTCACGTTCTGTGCACCTTCACTGCTGTTGCAAGCATGCAGCAAGTCTTTTCTCCTTCCAGGAAGTAGTCTAGGTTCTGTAAATGTTAGGGGTAGAAGAGATCTTAGGGTCAAAGAAAGATAGGTAAATACACTGAAGGTCAGATCACCTCACTGAACCCAAGAGGGGGAGGAATGCAATAGTTGGCATGTTTTAAGATCTTAATAAAATTTAGTTTTCATACTGTTACAAATTTTAAACAAAATTACCTCGTAATTCTTTATTTTGTCACTCAGTGCCTTGTTGTGGAGGATCTACCCCACTTAGACTGTGGTGCCAGGAGGAGTTTCTGTGTCCTGAAGAACGTGTTTCTTCTTTCCATTAGGTGAGCTGACTCTGACTGGTACCTGGCTGTCCATTGAGGACCCTGCTTCCTCAGTAGACATATCACGAGGTGGATGTTTTTCCTCTCACCTCCAAGTACCACTGGGCCTGAAGGTGGGGTAGGTGTCCTGCTTGCTCTTCTTTGCCCATCAGAATGACCAGTTCATCCTCTCCACCCTGAATCTTACCTTGAAACACATGTCCTCAGATTGTGCCAGTCACGTACAGTTAGTGCATAGGCCTTTATTCCTGTTGGTGGAGTGTGTATGTGTGAGTGTGTGTGTGTGTGTATGTGTGAGTATGTGTGTGTGCACACACGTGCACATGTGGTAATGGGATCAAACCCGAGGCTCATGCATGCAAGGCAAGCGCTCTACTCCTGAGCTAGATTCCCAACCCCATAATTCATTATGGTCTTCACAGCCAATCAGTAACCTGCCTTCTGCTTTTTTAGCTTCCCTACCTAAGGACTTGACTAGGCACTTCCTAGATCCGGTCATACCCAAAAGGGTATCCCTCTAAGAGTTCAAAGTTTCCAGAATCCTGATCTTAGCCAGACACGATGACCATGATGTAACACCTCTAGTCTCAAGAGGCCAAGGCTGGATAATGGCTTGAGGAGTCTGAGGCCACTTGGACCACTAGTGAGACCAGATCTGAAAACAAAAGAATTTTAAACTACTTTCTCTTTGCCATTTCTTCTCTCGTTCTCTAACGCAATTCTCCAACACAGTTCTCCAGGACCCGCTAGTCACTGGACCTGCTATGTATTCTCACCACCCGGTCTCAGCCCTTCTGCCCAGCTTGGGTTTTATGCTGTTATTATAGTTGTATGCTTGTCCACACTTTAAACTCTTTCCCTCCTTATTTGACTTAAACATTAAAATCAGAAGAAAACTTTGGCATTCCCTCCTTGCCAGATTCACCCCGTGCTGGGGATATAGCTCACTGGCACAAGCACTTGCCTGGCAGATGCAAAGTCCTGAGTTTGATTCTCAGGACCAAAAGAATACTAATACAAATAATAATAATAACAATACATTTTTAAAAACAAAAAGATAAAATGCAAATCCACCAGTGTATCAGAATCTGTACCCTCATATTCAGCGTCATCACTGTAGCAGTAAACTGTGTTTCACTCCAGGACTTGGCTGGCACATTCCACCTCCTGTCACTTCCTTAAGGATCGTCCTCTGCTGGGTCAGTGGCATCAGCGTGTACACCTGCTACAACATCTTGGGCCCTCTCCTGAGCCCATCTGTTCCTCAGCTGCCGTCCCCTTGCTCCGCTTCCTTTTAATAAGTAAGAAATACTTCTTGAAACACTCATCCGGATTTGCTGTCTTCCTCTCTTCCCAGGCTCTATGTCCCCCACTGCCGTCAGGCTCCCTGACTCTGCTCATCTCTCTTAGTGGCACCGCAACAGCATCGCCACTTCCCGAAGCAGGCTTTTTCCGTCGTCCTTTTTCAGAAGCAGAGCTCTAGATGTGCCTTCTTCGTCACACGTGCTGCTTCTTGGGATGAACATCTGGATCTTCACTTTCCAAGCATCTCTGTTTAAGAAACCACCAGAGCTCAGACCATTGTGTGCCTTTTTTAACATTTTTCGCTCCCTGAGTGATCTCATCCAGTTCCGAGCCCTAAACACCATTTATAAACCAACTCGCACCCATTTCTCTAGACTTTATATCTATTGCCTGAACCTTAAAGCCTTGGACTCTAGCATCAGATATCCGGTGACTCGTTTCATATTCATACCTGGGAGTGTGAGAAGTATCTCAAAAGGAACATGTCCAGAGTACTTCGCTTTCAGAATCTTTCCCTCCCACCTCTTTTCTCACTCAGTACAAGCAGTTTTCCCATTGCTCGCTCGAGTGGAAACCCGAGTCATTCCTGATGAATGTCCTGACGACTGTCTCACATCCAGTTCTTCCTCTTGGCTCCACCTTTTAAAAGTACACCCAGAACCCAGCCGTTTCCACCAGCACCTCTCTTCAGTCAAACCCCTTTATCTCCTCCTTGCACCTCCTGAGTCGCCTCCCTGTGAACACTCTGACCCCTCTCTGGTCTGTGCCAACGCAGTCCCCCGAATGTGTCATGTGACTCTGTTCTGCCCACCCGTAATTGCCCATCCTTTAGAAGAGAACCACAGAAGAGGTGTGTTTTGTTGTTGAGACAGGGACTCGCTATGGAATCCCAGGCTGGCCGCAGGCTCATGGTGATCTTCCTGCCTCAGCCTCCTGAGTGCTGGGACTACAGCAGTGCACCACCACACCTGGTTACTGTAGAGGACAGGATAGGATTCCCTGGAGTGGGAGTGATTGATTTTTTTTCCTCCACATTTCTATTCTCCTTCCAAATATAGGTAGGATTACACATACTTTCCTGGATCCTTAAAATTGCGTGAGCCAGGTAACTAACATGCACTGGCCAGTAAATGCTGGTGGAAGGGATGAGTCACGTCCAGGTGGCACCTTCCAGAGCAGCACATGCTTTGTGGTGCTCTTCTGCCTCAGCCATGGTACATGCCCCCTCTGGATGGTGCCGGATTCCTCAGCCCCAGAGGAGGAGCAGAAAAACCAAATGTCCTCCTGCAGCCACGCACAATGAGGCGCATGTTGTGTATGACGTCTGAGACCCTTCTTTTGTACGGACAGTGTGCCCTGCTGGTCTGGATGGCACCCCCTGGCTTCCTCGCCAGGGTCCCCTCCGCCTGTCCCTCTCACTGTGTTTTGGCCTCACTGACTTCCCTCCTGCTCTTCAAACAGGGCGGCATATCCGTGCCATTAGACCAGGCCTGAAATTACTATTGCAGTAATTTTGAAAGGGAATTTTGACTCTTAAAATCCAGATTCCTCCAGGTTTAGTTTTTTTTTATGGTAGATCTAACAATACAAATTCATGTTTCTGTCTGTAGGTTGGCACGTTTGTTTTAGATCCAATGTGTGGACTTGGAACAATACTTCTGGAAGCTGCTAAAGAATGGCCAGTAAGTGTTAAAATTTGGTGTAAACTAAGCAATAAATTTATATATATATATATATATATTAAACTAAGCAATATATATATATACACACACATTTACCAATGATGGAATTATTATTTTTAATGTTATAAATTAATGACGGAATTACTATTTTTAATGTTATAAATTACTATTCACCATGGTTAAAATAGATTAAAGAGATTGGTTAGACTGCTGTTTCTTTTCAGTGTGAAAGTTTTAAGAAAATTTTCCATATGACAAAATTCAAGTAATCGGTCACGACCTTGATATATGAATGACCAGATTCCTTAGGCTTTTTTAATTGTAAAATAGTAACAGATTTTAAAATTTTAACAAAAGCTTTTAATTTTGCTATTAGTATTTTAAAGAATACCTGTAAATTTATTTTTGTTTGAATTTAAAAATCTGTTAATTTTCAACATTTGAGAAAATACAAGTAGATTTTTCTAATTGCTGAGATATCTGATGGTTTTATTTGTACTTAACCCACAACTTTCTTTCTCTGTAGGAAGGGTACTACGTGGGTGCTGATGTCAGCGACTCGCAGTTACTTGGTGCGAGTGACAATCTGAAATCTGCAGGCCTTAATGATAAAATTGAGTTGCTTAAAGTCTCTGTTATAGGTAAGAACCAAAACCAAGAATCACTTTCTATACTTGAAGGTTTAATTGTTTATGCCCTGTACTATGTCTGTGGGACTAATACTTCCAATATTATAACTTTATTTTTCAAAAGGTTCCTGACTAGGCAGCAACATTTATATAGTTTTTCCATTAACACTGAAGTCAAAGCGTGCCATTTTAAGGGGTATTTGTTGTATCTGGATCATTTTTCATTTATAAGCAAGGATCACATAATATAAGCAAAATATAAAAAGAGCAGTATAATGGTGATTTGAATTTATTTCAGATAAACGATATGACCGTCTTGTTGCTGTCACTGGGCAGTATCCCTGGTATACACAGGCATGAGGTGACCACCTGCACCAGCTTCTAAAGCAGTACTCTCAGAAGTTAGCAAGGTGTGGGGCAAGCGGGGACAGTTGGTCACTTGTGAGGTAGAGGGAAACCACTGACCCCTGTTTACTGATTGGGAATCAACAGTGACAGACGTGACTAAGAACCAAGTCAGTAAACCCCAGGTAAAAAAAAAAAAAAATTCTGTAGCATCCACACTTTTTTTTTTTTTTTTACTGGTCTTTTTGAGACGGTGTTTCACCAGGCAGTTTAGGCTGGCCTTGATGAACTCACTTTGAAGTCCAGGCTGGCCTCAGATTCACAGCGATCCACCTGCCTCAGCTTTCTGAGTGCTGAAATTACAGGCATGCGGCCACCAAGCCCTGCCTAGGCTATTTTAGGGAAACCTTGCATTCTTGTTTCTCCGATGCTCCCATAATACACCTCTCTCCCTTAAAAATATTAGCACATTTCATTTCCAGCTAAGGAATTTTTATTCTCCTGGCAGTAAATAGGTATCAAACCTATGATCAAGGTGAATAAAATGCTGTTTAAATTTTTTATTATAGGAAAATAGTAAAGATGAGCATCAGCAGAAGAAAATATTAGGATAACATCTGTATAAAAGCATAATAAAGTACCTCAAAAAAATTTATGTGGTTGATTGAGATCTCATAGTTGTTTGTAGTTAGTTACTGCTTTTTTAATCTAACAAGGTTTTTAATAGGGCTTTGTGCATAAAACTCACTAGTTTCTATAGCAAACTGAGGTGTCATTAGACTGAAATCAAGCTTGCATGAACCCTGAGTTCTTTAAGAATGCTGTTTCTGTGAGAAAGAGCCTGAAATTGCTTCATAAATTCTTTCAGAGCAGTGGGTTTCGGATCTCCCCCTGCTCCGTGGCATCTTGGAGACCTGAGGGAGCGCGGGCTACATCACCCCGTGGGACCTCGGCCACCCTCCCAGCTTGACCTTTATCACTTTTCATCTTAGAGGCATTTTCCACAAAGTTTCACTTTAAATAGAAACAAAAAGTACTCCATTGTTTTTAAAACAAAAGGCCTTCTCTGTGGCACCACATAACCAAATAAATCCTAGTATTTGAAAGAATCTGTCACAGAAAGAGTAGCCTGTAGGAAAGGAAAGGCAAGAACAGACTAGTGGAATAATCCAGGGAAGAAAAGATGATGGCCTGGGCCAAAGTGGAAGCCGTGGAGGTGTCGGTAGGGGGCAGATACAGCTTTGGAGGTAGAGCCAGAAGGCTGTATTGTTAGAATGGGTGTGGAGTATGAAAAAAAGAACAGCTAAGCTTTCTAGCCCAAGCAGCCGGAGAACAGAGTTATTATTTATTGATAAAGGGAAGGTTGGAGGGAGAAGTTAGAGGTTTGAACCTGTTCAGTTTCACACGGTTGTTAGACACCAAGTGTCTCGAGAGGATACCAGAGTAGGGGCAAATCTGGAGTTTGGGTTGAGGGTAGGTATCAACAGTAGAGGTAAATTCCCTAGCTCACCTAGGGAATAACTATAAACAGAAAAGGAAATGGGACTGAGTCCTGGAACACAGTCATATGCTTTAGAGTCCTGAGTGAGCACTGAGCAAAGGAACAGCTCGTAACTAAGAGAGAATCCAAGGGGAAGAGAGCTATGCAGCCTGCTGCCAGTTGGAAAGTAAACTGAATCTGGTGATTGCAGAGGTCCAGGGCTGTTTCCATGGCGCAGCAGGAGCAAGTTCTGCCTGGAGTAGATTCTTGAGAAAATGGGAAGAAATAGAGATAGTAGCTTATGTCTTAATTTACTTAATGACTGATTGAATAATTGATTGATGATTGCAGTTCTAGACCCTGAACCCACAACCTTCTGCATGCTAGGCAAGTGCTGTACCACTGGGCTACATCCCTAGCCAAGCAGGAATGTTTTAAAGATAGAAAATAGTTATTTTTAAGTACAATGTTTCACTTTTTGTTGAGTGTCTGGCATTCTAGCTACAGTGTGCATTTTCCTCATTAATTCAGGTTTACCTTGAATAGCTCTAGTCATAAATACAATGTAGAATGCTGAAACCTGTGAAGCCCGTTCAACATTCTCAATTTCAGCATTTCATGTCTTTTTACTGCAGCAGTTAAGCACCTGCGTGGACTTCAGAGTCCAACAGACCAAGTATAAATTCTGGCTTTACCATTGTGCGGCCTTTAGCAAAAAAATGAGTTTCTCTGTATGCTTTTTATTTATAAGATGAAGATAATGCCTATTTCATGAGGCTTTGGTGAGAATTTATTATAACACATGAAGTAAAAAGCCTAAAGAGATCATGAATTAAAGATTCCTATTAAGTCTGAATGGGTCTAGTAATTTAGTGATACCCTTGTCATGACTTACCCCATTCTATACCCTCATCATATTCTTTATTGTGTTTTAATGGTTTTTTCCACATTTTTTAGTGTGTTCACATTGTTTTATAAGTCTCTACTAGTGTAAAAATAGATGATCATTTAACATACAGAAATTGCGCATATTTATTCCTGAGTTTAAATCATCATGAAAATTTGGAATCAAATGAGTATCATGTTACAAGCTATAGTATCTTAGGAAATAACAGTCACTGGTTAGGCTTTTTTTAAATGTACAAATATATTTATATTCCTAGTACAGGATAGAAGCTATAACATAGAGATCAGAACGAGAGAAACACGTATATGATTTAATTAAATGCTAAAAGCATAACTAAATAAAAGAGAGTTATCGTTGCTCCCAGCTAAATATTCTACAGCCTTTGCCAGACATCGCTTGGATGACAACAAGATTACTGGCCACAGCTGTGCGTCGTGTTCAGGTGTCACTTACTGACGCCTGTCCCGCAGTAGGGCTGCTTTTCTTCCAGAGCACCCATCAGCGCCCCATCCTGCAGGTTGCATTTTCCTTCACATGCATGTGCCTTCCTCTCATGCTGTCCTGCACTGCCCTGCCTGCTTAGGCCCTGTGCTTGCATGCCAGCCTGCAGGATTCATAAAGCTGTCGGGCAGCCAGTCTTGATCATGAGAGCAAGTGTGGGAAACAGTGGGTTAGGTGTGCGTGGAGGGTGTGTGGAGGAAAAAGGGGGTTTGCTGCATTTGCTTTTGTCATAATCTCTTTCAGCAACAATGAGTCAAAGCGCACTTTTTCTTTTTTTTTTCTTTTTTGTCTTTTTCATTTTTATCGGTACCGGGGATTGAACTCACGACTGCCTGCTTGCAAGGCAGGCGCTTATGCCACTGAGCTAAATCCCCAGCCCCCTCAAAGTGTACTTTTAATGCCATAGAAAGCACCAAAATTTCATTTCTCAAGAAAACTAATGATGAACATATGACTTGAATAAAACATTTGTTGCCATTTACCATCTACTGAGAGCCATGATGCTGTCACTGACCAAATGAAATGCATCTACTTCAGAAACTTCATTTACTACTGTGTTCTCTTCAAGACTTGGTAGTTATCTTAAGGATGCTTGGCCCAAACCCAACTATTTATCACATGAAATCAAAGAAAATGCATTTAAATATTATCACTCTATGAAGCATGACTTTTCATTTAGATTACCTAGCTCTTTTTCTAAATTTTGCTCATATTCAACTCCATGCTTTTTCATGCACAGAAAGAAAAAGGAAGCCGTAATTATTGACATGTTGACTCCACTAGGAAACCCGTGCTAACAGTTAAGCACTGCCGGTTTTTTTTATCAGATTTTCCAGTTGCTTCAGAAAGAAAATTAAGTCAATTCCAGTAATGGTTAGCATTTTTTCTTCTGAATTCCTAGAAATATAGGAGTATTTTTTTAACCTGTGAAAGATGAAACATCTGTGAATGTGGTTTTAAGTTTAGTTCAACAGTCCACATCTCTGCTTACGTATTCAGCAGACCACAACATGGTAAAAATTCATGTTCCTACTAAAATCCATAGAATAGAAACACACCTAGAACTTAATATGGTAGCTGTATAACTCACAATTACCTCGAAACAGGCCAAAGCAATTGAAATAGAAACGTAAATTGACAAAATAATCAGCTTTTTTATTTTTTAAATATATACAATGCAACTAACTGCAGGCTATTTGTGATGAAGATGCTTAAATGCAAAAATATACTGCAGGATGGCCGGGGATTAGCGAAGCAGCATAAACACCTGCCTTGCAAGCCCACAGTTGTCAGTTTTATCCCCAATACCAAAAAAATACACACACACACACTGTAGCATGCCTTTCTCTCTCTGCTTGCCATCATCAGTTGGTTTTAAAAGTTTAAGCCTTCACAAAACAGACCTACCATAGTACTATACAATATTTTCAAATAGACACAATGTGCCTAATTTGGGTAGCATTTTATTCCAAATCTATTGTATATCTGTAATCAAAGGATTCCATAAGTGGAATACCAGAAAACTCTGGCCTTTTTGAACTTTCTGGTGAATTGCAGTTATTAAAAGCAAAGGTGACAATCGGAAGACACTGAAATCTATCTTTATAAATACAAAGGCGGACAAGAACAGAGTACAATGAACTCAGTGATTGTCTTGGTTACTTTTTTCTCATTTCTGGGACAAAATACCCAACACCCAAAGTGATGGAAGAAAAGGTTTATTGAGCTCCCTGTTGTGGAGGTTTCAGCCCATAATCAGCTGGCTGCAAGGCAGGGTGG